TTTTATTTTTCTACAATAAGATTTTCCACTTATTGCTTTCATGAAATAAAACAAGCATGTCCAAAGTCAGTCCTCTGGGCTCATTGTCCAACAGGTTTTAGAGGTTTCTCTACTTCAGCACAGTTGATTTCCATTGATAGCTGATTAACAGGCTTTTGCTGATCTGAAATCAGAAGAATCAGCTGTGTTGCAGCTGTGAAATGTAAACCTGTAGGACAGTGGCCCTCAAGGACCGACTTTGGGCATGCCTGAAATAAAACCAAGCAAAATCGAATGAATGAAAGAAGAAAATGTAGGCAGAAAGTACTACCTCATGCTTAAAACAAAAAACAAATTCATACCCTTTTATTTTGTATGATTTAGAGAAAAAAAACAAAAACCTTAGTATAGAACATGCTGTAAAGAAGATATAAAAAAACATGAGGAAAACTGAACTTGAACCCTAGATCGCAATAATGGGAAATGACATGTAGTATTTACTATGAATTATTCTAACTGTAGTTATTATGTATGAGTTTTTATATTTCAATCTAAAATAATTTTGATCATTTAGATTCCAAGTATCTAAACAATTATATGTGCTTTAAATAGAGATAAAACTGATACAGGATGCTGCACAAAGTCTGCCTATGTGCGCACTGATTAGTTTTAGTCAGTCAAATGGGAGTCTAAATATATTTTCCAGCATTGATTCAGAGAGAAACTGTAGCAGATGGACAACTAAATAGTTTCAAACCGTATCTAGCAACTATTGAAAGAAAAAAAAAAGCCTACTGTAGGTTTGTGTATTTCGTTTGACTGATAAGTTGCTCCAGCTCAATATGAGTCTCACTTAATTTGCTTTGAAATGAAGATTCCTCCCAACAGTTAACTTTCACCTATCTGGAAGTATTCGCTTACTGCTGACCAGTTGGACCTTTGAAAATATTTTGGTTTTGAAACTTTTGCTAAGATGGAGCCAATCACTTTCACACGTTCAAGCAGTGTAATAAAGGGCTCCTGCACACATATAGTGTTGAGGAGAAACTAACCCGTCAGTTTGATTTAAATAAATAAATTGTGACAGATTGTGACAGTCCTAGTTTGAACACCAGCCCATTAAGCTTTGGAAGACAAGTGTTTTTATTTGGGGTTTGAGGAAAGCAACTGTACTGTAAAACAAATAAATATGTATTTCTAAAGGCATTATTCTGCCTTTATTTGCTAAACTAAAGTTGAATTTGAAAGGCTTAAAATAACATGTTATGCGGACTTTAAAACTAGAGAAGCATAGGTTTTGATTTACAGAAGATCTTACCAGTTGCTCATAACCCACAGCTTTGTTAAATTTTTTTCTTTCTTATTATCTCTGAGTTTTTGTACCCTCCTCCTTCCCCTCCTCTTCCACCTCTTCTTCCTCCTTCATCCCATTAGCTGATTAGCTGTGTACCATTATGGAAGATTGCCAGGGAGGTACGAGATGGACGTCCAATCAGGCCACTTGCTTTTTCCTCCCATTAAACCCCCTCCTTTCTTCCTGGCTTGTTCTCTCTGCTGCAATGATTTCATCTTTCTCATCTCATGGAAGAACTGACCTTGTAGGAAGACCCTTAAATAAAGAATGGGCAGCATGGCTCTGTTGTAGGCTGACTCATCTCTGACTGTGTGAGTTGGCCAAAAGATGTGTCATATTTTAACCAAAAGTCTGGTCTCCATATTAAATGGGGGAAGCAGAGTAAATTGGCAGAGCAGGGTTGACACCGACATATTTCTCCCTGGCAGTCTTTAATGAACAAGGTTTGATTCACATCGGTAGCTAATAGGTGCAGTGCCATCCTGTGGAGTCAAAGCATACATTTTGTGAAAGCACGCTCTATTAATTTGTCCTAAAGACTAGACAGCTGTTTGTATTTATGGAGTGGTGTGCATAAAAAGATAGAAGGATAGTTTTTCCCTGACAGTAGGAGCCATTTAACCATAGAGAAACTGCTTTAAATCCATCTGAATCTGTGTGACAAACTGATGTGAAACTAAATGAGCAGAGGAATCACTTAAAGCAAAAAAGCAGATAGAGGGAAAAAAAACGGAGCTTACATTTACACAACAGAGAAATCCATCTAGCTTGTGATCACACGGTGGCAGGTGAATGTTGTAAGGAAGACAGAGAGAAGCATAGCATTTATTAAGACCTCACCTACCCCTCCTCTTTTCGGGAAACGTACCCGGCAGTGTCCCACTGTCACCGTAATTCAATTTTCCTCTATAAATAACCTTTCTCATAGCGGATTCGCTGGCACATCATTTACTGATTGCAGAGATGCAAGAGCCTCATCTTTCTGACCAGACAGGTCTCCTCGGCAGCTGTTGCTGGTCACTGGTTTATAGAGCAGCTGTGGTTAATTGGGACTTCTTTAATGAGAAAACAACAGCCAACACACTAAAGTAAAAGTTTTCAACACATTTAGTGCTTTGTATGAATTAAGAGCTTGCTCTTTTATGTTCCTGCTGTAAATCTGCATGACTTTATAGAATGAATAACCTCTGTCATCATGAATTAAGACCGTCTGAATCTGAATCTTTTTGGCCAGTGATACCGACCCAATTTTTTCCACAGTGTGCATGCATTCGTTTTCACAGACCTTCTCAGCTCTGCTCGCCTATTCCTATTACAAAGTCTAGATAGATCAGGATTTATACTTACAATAATGGCAGCTCCAAGATCACTGACTCTGGTGACCTAAAACTGGAAGTGTTACATAGCATGACAGGGACAGAAAATTGTTGTCTTTTGATTTTAACTGGATACTTGGCCTGATAACACCCAGCTATCATCTTAAATGATCTCATCAGTCCACGAGGGAAGGATCTATTTGTTTGTTCAAGCTGAATTGATTCATAAAAAGCAAATTTTGTGAGAAAAGGAAGAACTACAGTTGAACTACTAATTTGACATCTGTGCATCCCTTACTCTTCACTTAACACTGATGGTGCTCTGTCTGTCAGGTTTGGGATGTTTGAGTACCTCAGTAACCGTGCGAAGGATGAGAATGGACGACTGGACAGCACCCGTGGCCTGCTCTGTGGGCTCGGAGCTGGTGTCATGGAGGCAGTGCTTGTGGTCTGCCCCATGGAAACTGTTAAGGTATTAATTATAAACTGGTTTATGGTCTGTTGACAGAGCTGCTATATTCGATGATTAGTATGTTGCAAACTGAACACGTCTAATAATTGGTTACATAAAGAATCTGTTACCTGTTTACTGGGTTATTTTTTTCTATGTAAACTGAAAGGGTGCTTTTTTGTACATTGGACAGAATGCTTTACAGATTTATGAAACAAATCAATTGTAAAAAGGTTTAGATCTTCTGGAATGCACTGAATCCAAGATGAACTTGTCAGGGAAATGGTCAAAACAAGCTTTTTACGTCCTCAAGTTTATTTTTCCCTGGAAAGTTTTATTTTCAGTCCCACATGTTTCCTTTCTGTTATCTCCCAAGGTTAAATTCATTCACGACCAGACCTCAGCCAACCCCCAATACAAGGGCTTCTTCCATGGAGTCCGAGAAATTGTCAGGTCTGAAGGTAAAGATACAGTCTTTAATATATGTGACTCGTCTGACTTCTACTGGACCAGTAGGGTATTGCAACTAAGACAAAAAAGGATGAATTTTGACCTGTGTTTTTAACTTGGTGATGTTTAACACTTTTTTTTTTCTACGGTCTGAACAGGACTAAGGGGGACATATCAGGGTCTGACTGCGACGGTTCTCAAACAAGGTTCCAATCAGGCTATAAGGTTCTTTGTAATGACGTCCTTGAAGAACTGGTACAAAGGTCAGTCTGCATGGACCTCCATTGTTTGTGTTTGTTTAATAGGATTAATAGAGGTACTTTCTGTGGGAGGGGTTATGTGCCTTGCTAAAATAAACTGTTAAACTTTTCACATTTTATCATAATACAACCACAAACCCAAATTTGTTTTATTGAGACATTATACAAGAGAACTAATTTAAAGGGAAGGTAGATTATACATGGATTTCAAAAAGCTTTAAAAATAAAATAATTGCTCTCATATCTGAACCCAGCCATCTTGAGATTGATACTGTTCATTTATTTGACATGAAGCCATTATTTCTGTCAGAGCTTCAGAGCTTTGTTAGAAAACATTTATGAACAGGCAGATCTCAGACACACCAAGAAAGACAGCTGAGAGGCTAATAAAGTCGTTGAGACATTTAAAGTCGTAGGGAAGTCATATTTAAATGTTAAATCATTCTGGCTTAAACATGTATAAAAATGTACGCTTGATCAGACTATATTGTCCCAAAAGTTAATAAATTTCTATAAAAAAAAAAAATCCTGTCTTAAAATCTGTTTTTGTTTTTTTTCGTTATTTTATCCAGGCCAGTTAGTTAGACGTCAGCTTGTACACCTAAATTCGGCCAATCATATATCAACGGTCATCTGTCAATCATATTTTTACGGTCATAGCATCTTGATTCATATGTCGCAGCTAATATGTGCAATGATTGAAATAAGACATAAGAATCATTCACTTCACCACTGAGTTCCCTCCCAGTGTAGAGCAGGTGTAGAGCTAACACTGGCAGCCTTGCGAGGCGAGGGCTCGAACATGTACGGCTGTAAGCCTCCTATACCAAACCAAGCTTCTGCTGGCCTGGCGTCCTCTTCCATAACATCTTCCTCCCTGCTTTCCTCCTCTAAATAAAAGTGTTTGACGGAGGAGACTCATCCACGACCTCCGACATAAAAGTCTCCTCCTTTTGCATGTTTCCGCTGTCCATAGTGTTCCTTGACAGTGTCGTTGCTAAGTGCTACTTAGTCCCAATGTGATTTCCCATTGGGAACCTACTAGCACTAAGTTGCTAAATGGTTAGCAAGATGCTTCCGAGACATCGGCTTCAACCAAACTTGCTTGCGAATCTTCCGCCACAACAATCCCACTCTAGAAGCTCTAGAACATGAAGGATAGTTTTCCTTGAGCCCTGACCCGACACCACTGGTTAAGTTCGTAGCATTTAGAAATTCCACGTCAAAGTTAAATCACGTTTAGAAAACAGAAAAGTAATCTATGCTCACATCTCTTTTTATTAAATCTGACTGAGGTTGAACTACTTAAAAGGGAAGAGTTGTCTCTAGTTATGTGATGCTGGTGGAGACATAGCCAAAAAACCTGCAAAATGTAATTTGAAAGACTATTAACTAAGCGACTGAATTCAAATGCACTGGCCTCTTTTTAGGTTTCTGATTTTAAAAGATTCTTTGATCTCCTTTCAATCCTACTTTAATTTTTTTTTTAGCAAATTTGTGTTGCTCTATTAAAACCCATTGATGTCAGGGGTTGAAGCTTGTCAAAAATTAGAAAAGTTCTTGGGGTGTGGATGGGTTTGTAAGGCACTGTACCGTGAATGGATCAGTTAAATTTGTTTGTGTAAATGTAAAGAATCAGAACTCAGATGCTTCTCTCTGTATGGCTAAAGATGAAGAGATTTTGAACCAAACCTAATTTCTCACTCTTTTTCTCACTAGGTGATGACCAAAACAAATCTATGAATCCCATGGTTACTGGGGCCTTTGGGGCTATAGCAGGGGCAGCCAGTGTATTTGGAAACACTCCTCTAGATGTCATCAAGACACGAATGCAGGTACACAGTATGGTCCTTCTGCTTTATTTCAGACTCCAAACAACTGCTATAAATGGTAAATATTAAATACAAAGTTCCTGTTATTTTTGAAGGGCCTGGAAGCTCATAAATATAAAAGCACATTGGACTGTGCCTTGAAGATCCTCAAATATGAGGGGCTGAAAGCGTGAGTTGCTGTCATCTTATCTGTTTTTTCTAAAGTTTATTATGTTTACTTTTAGGTTTTTGCTTTCCTTAGACCTCTTAATAAAGTCCTTGGCAAACTATTACATTTTTAGAACTCATTAGTTTGTCATAATCCAAAGACGGACCTAATATTTTCTGAAATTCTGTATTGAAACAGCTCATCTTTGTGTGTGATTGGACAAATATTCTCAGCTTTTACATTTATACTTCCTTTACAAAGAAGCTATTCACAAGGGCTCATTTGTGCAGAGACTATGTGCCCAGGCGGTGCTGCGGTTTGTTTTTTTTAGTTCCTAAATTCTTCCTCTAGCATTAGCATAAAAGCAACTGATGGCTTTGTTTTATAATTACTTATTTAGAAGAAATAAAAAATAAAACCTAGAAATGATTGTGTTTTGGACATATTATCTTGAATGAAGTGTAGTTTGTGTTCTCCAATTATTAGATGAACATTAAACACTTTATGTCAACATATGTATTTAATTTGATTTATTCAGATAAAAAGTTTATTTTCTTTCCCCTTTATGTCTTTTTTTGGGTTTCTAGTTTCTACAAGGGAACAGTTCCTAGGCTTGGTCGTGTGTGCCTGGATGTAGCCATTGTTTTCATCATCTACGAGGAAGTTGTGAAGGCCCTGAATATAGTCTGGAAGACAGAGTGAGCAGCAGGAAGTGCAAAGAAGATGACACAGACACAGAGAGTTTGCAAGTTTGCTTCTGAATCAGAAAACCAGCTTTTAAGAAGATTTAGTAGAGATTAAACTTAGGTCTGTGTTATATGTTGACCTCAAAGTCAAAATACTGATAGAAAGAGACTGCAGAAAGAGAAGGAGCCTGAGTGGAACCTTTACGCTCTACATCAAGACTTCTGCCCGCCAAAGTAAAATAAAAGGGTCCTTTATAGTTTATAATGCATATAAGAATAGAAAAAAATCACTGTGAAGAATATCTTTTTTATTTACTTCAGATTTATTTTAAGGTGAAACCACACAGACATTTTAAAAGGTATCTATACTTCTCTTTCAACATAACCCAATCATATTTAGGATGATGCTCATCCTGTCAAGGTTTACTACAAGAATGAAGGTATTATTTTGGGCTTTCTTAAGTTAAGCTTTTTTCTCTCTCCAGTTTGCACCCATAAACACTCATGGGTAGATCTTTAATTAATATAAGTTTATATACACAATATTCCAATTATTTTTATACAGTATTGTTGTTTTTAAAAGAATTGCAGTGCAGTTTAATGTATATGTTAATTGTATGCCAAATATCCAACCTTTAAGCTAAAACATAAAATATTCAAATTTTTTTAGAGAAAGAGAACATATAATAAAATTATTATTATTTTTTATTTAAAGATTATTTAAACGAAAGGTATTTACTGAAAACTAAAAGATAAATTATTTACAGACCAGTTGCTGTTAATGAGTGCCAAATGTTTTAAACCTGTCATACATTTCTGTGTGATTAAGCCTTCTGATTAAATTTGTTGGATTTATCTGAATAAAAACAAACATCTCTCCTCAGTTATTGCTATTACCGTACTTTAAAACTGAACCCCTGCAGTAGTCACAGTTCCCTCCTCCTTTCAAATATTGGCAGCCCTGGTGAAGATAAGTAAAAAGCCTTATATGTATTCATCTTTTGTCTCTTAATATTTATTTCACAATCTCATATTGGATATATTTTAAATTGTCCAACCTTCAGTTTTAGTTTTAACTAAAGCATGTTTGTTTCTTTTTATATGACAACATAAGTTTAAATTAAATTGGGTGTAAAAGTATGATCCCGTGGATGATTTCTTGTAGCTACTCTTAAAAATGGGAAAGGCTAGAGAAGACATGGTGGAAATTCCAAAGGTTCACGCTGATTTGTATCAGTCTGAAAATGGCAAATGATCAATTTTAGATAAGCATCCGTGAAAAACAAAGTCGAATGAGAACCTTACGGTCTATTTAAGACTTTTAGAAACATTTTAACTGGGGATGCCATTAACAGTGGAAAGTTTTTTTTATAGGCCCTTGGTTTTAGCCAGAGGTTATCTCTATTGATTGTGGTGTTTACATCAACAGGTCATAAAAAAATTCCAATCATACTTTTAAATGCTAAGGGAAACCAACCCTCTTGAAAACTCCCACTTCCTCTGAACTATTCTCATTGCTTAGATTTATCAATAAATGAGGAGAGGAATCATCAGTACAGATTTCTTTATTTTTGTGAAGAAAGCATTTATGCATTGTATAAACTAGCATATAGAGCATTGTATTCTCACTCATGTGCCTTTTGTTGACGTGTTTCTTGCTAAATTTGTCTGACGTACCTTTATCAGTTTTACTTGGTCTTTTCATTGAGATGTATCTGGTCCCCTTTTCTGGTTAACAAAACAATTTCTGTAAATCTAATGATTGTATGCGAATGAAAATTAATCAAAGTTAATCTTCATTTCCTCATTGAACCCATCAAAGTGGTTGTATTCTCTACTGCCAAATGTTGTCTAAAACAGAATATTACTCTGAGAATATCAGTATTTTCTGTATTGTATGTTCAGGTGTTTCAGGGCTTTGAGGCTGTTTGTGCAATAAGTGTTACCTCTATCTATTGTCTATGTTTCATGTTTTCTGTTTTGTATATGGATATACAAATGTATTAAAAGAAGCAGCTTAAATTTTCAGCCTAAGCAAACCCTTCCTCAGTTACTTTCCTGGTTTTCTGTGCCTTTGGTTTGGACAGATGAGGGTTAAACGGTTTCGTTACACACAAATGTGGGGTGAATAAACTGTCCGTCTTTTGTGTCTCTTAAAGACAAATTTTACATGTTGCTCAAGTAAAATTTCAGGACGAATCCAAAACTACGTAGAAAGCATGTTGGTGTCCAGAGAAATTGAGGAAAATTGAAGTTAAATGATAGAAATGTTTAGCATAGATTAATCCAAAAGCACCAAAAGCATGAGAGATGTTGAACTTATAATAGGCACTTTAAGGTTGTATTCTCCTTATTCACACGTAACAGACGTGTAAATGAACAACACATAAGTACTATCTAAACATGGTATGTGTGCTACAGTTTACAGGTAAACAGGTTTTTTGTGTGCTGTGTTGTACATGCTTGAAGCCTCTTGGATACAATTTGGTGAAAGGTAAAAACTTCTGAATTGTTAGAATAAAAAATATTTTTAATACAGAAATACAGACCAGAATAAAATGATGTCTAATATCTGCTCAAAGGTTGTTCATTTTAAAATACCACAAAAAACAAACAAACAAAAATTTTTTTTTACCAGGTTTAGGTATCACCAAAGAAACAAAACAAGGAGTCCTTTGGTGGAAACATAATTACTGTTTGGATTACAATGAGGCAATTAAAAAACATTGGAAAGACATTTTGTTCAGAACTGAACTTCCTCCTGGCATATTGACAGAAGTTATTTTCTGTTCTCATCCTTTTGGTGATTGTGTTGAGGAATCCTTAATGTTATCATTATTGGTATTTCAAAAATCCTGTGTTTATTATTTATTTAGCTAAATCCTTTTGTTTTTGTCTTGTAAATAATGTCTTATACCTTCTCAAATTATTGTTTTTTTTGTGTAAAATAGACATAGAAATAACACAATTTAATATGAAAACAGAAAAATCTAAAATGTTTACATAGGGATATTTGTTGTCTCTTGTTTTTCTCCTACTATTATTCCACTTGTTTATTTACTGGATTTTCTTTTTCAAATAAGCACCATAGGAAATTGCTTGAGTACAGAATACAGTATATCCCAGGTATAGATTATATGGGTACAGACAGCTGCAAAGTTAATCCAAAACACTAGAGAGAGCTGTAGCTCAAGCACAACCTCCTCTGAATCTCAGCAAACACACACACACACACACACACACACACACACACACACACACACACACACACACACACACACACACACACACACACTTTATTTGCCCTTTTTATCAGAAGAATTCTTTTAATTTCATCATCATCGCTCCCTCATCTTTATCCTTTTTAGAGCATTGAACAGTGCACTGCAACATTAACACAGCAAAACCAAACCTTTCCATCTGCTGCACTAAAAGAAAAGCCATATCCAGGCAGCACTCCCTTTATTTTTGTTCAACATGCCAGCAAAAACTAATTACTCAAAAAAGGAAGAGAGTTGATAATGAAGTCATTTCCAAGAATCCTCGCTATCCTGTTTATATACAGCTAAATAAACACAAAAAAGAAAAAAAAAGCATTAAGAGATATAAAATAATTAATTATGTTAATGACTTCATGTAGTCCTAATTAACGAAACATTTATTTTATTTTATACATTATACAGTTAGGGGGGGAAAGGCTGGCATTTTATGTTAAGGCAAACTGGAGAGATTTATAAGCACTTTGAACTATAATTCCGTTACTGCCCTTCCTTGGGGCTCAATGCTATTGTTTCATTAGCCTTTCCTTCAATAGGGTGGTTACAGTCATTTGCACTGACTGAGTAAAATGATTATCAAGTCACTCATAATTTAAAGGATATTGTGACCTCACACCTTTTCATTGTTTATGAGCTTATCTTATATTTTTCCTCTATCCGTGGTGCTGAAGTTTATTCTATAATTTAGAGATAAAGCTGATCTGTGTAGTTTGCGATTGATTGATTTAGGAAATATATGATAAAAAAAAAAAAAATGAAATAGCGCATGGAGGCCACAAACCAGGGGCCAATACGTTTGGTTCCAACTAGTTTACTCTACTTATAGTTGTTAAAGATCTATTAAAAGTTTCTTTTTTGCTTCACATTTTTGATAACACTGTGCAAATGGGTTCCTTAAGTCAAATCTTGAGGATGTCAAGTGCTACCAATAGGGTCAGTGACTGACCCCGTAAATCCACAATGAAGTGAGAGAGAGAGAGACAAGGAGAGAGAGGAGAGAGAGAAATCGACCTTTCTGGTGAGTACAGTACTTCACACAGTTTGTATCATAAGTGAGTGAAGGGAGCGGCGTCCCTCAGACAATCCGGGCAGCTTTTGCGCTTAGAGTTCCAACTGTAAGCAACTCTCCATTGTTTGTCGGTGGTCTGTGTTTCTTCTTGTTTTTGCTCGAAAAACCAACAAAAATAACTAGACAGCCGTCAGAGAAACTTTGTTAAGTGCGAGTGCAGAGCAGGTGGCCAGGAACAGCGGCCGTGATGAGAGCGCACGGATGGAGGGCTGCGCGCATCGGCTTCTACTTTTGCGCATTTTATGCGCTTTTATGCACTGAGCTTGTCCCGACGGCTGAAGCCGGCTGCAGGGAGAGGGAGAGCCAGAACTGCTGCCCCGGCCGGGACAACAAATGTTTAGAGCGCACAAGGAGAAACACTGTGTGCTACTGCGACAGCTACTGTCAAAAAACCAGGGACTGCTGCGAGGATTACCAAGACGTCTGCCTGATATCTGGTGAGCTGATTGTTTTTCTTGGTCATTTTTGCAGATTATACCAAACGGCCTCCAAAATTCAGAGAAACATGACAACAATTTAACGCTAGAAAACTGTTTTTTTTTCTCCTTCTTATATTCACCAATCAATGTTGGTCCTTTATGGTTTATGTCATGTATTAACTGAATATTTATCCAGATATTTGCCCCAGTACAGATCTATGCTTTTCAAGGTCTCTATTGTGATTAGCCACCCACTTCAAATAACAGAAAACGTCACATGTTCCCCCAATAAATAGATATTAATATATAGACAAAAAATAGATATCTATTTTTTTTCTAAGCATTTATAGCATCCCCAAGGCTTTGTTGTCCTGACCAGTTTCTCTGCATTAACAGTTTATAGGTTTTCTTGTTGCTTATAAGGACAACGTTTTTTTGACAGTGAGGTGACACTTAACCCTGTAACATACTACACATAACTGTCTCCAGAGTCTCCACCATGGCTGTTTGTTGTAGGTGAGAAGCCAAGGTAATGTCTTGTTCTAAGACTTGCAGGACTAAATTTAGTCTTTGTTGTTTGAAAGTTGCCTTCTTGTTAGCAGTTTTTGACCCCCTAACCTTCACATGAAAGCTAAAAAATGCACAACCTAATGTGGACACTGGAGACAAGAAAGACTACCGCAAGTTAAACATGGTTAAATGGTTGGTAACATCCCTGAAACACACAGAGAAACATGTCTGTTCACTACCATTCATTACACATTCATTTCTACTGCCTAACCTAGACCCTAATCATGAACCCAGCTGTCTCGTCATATACCTTTACTAAACTCTATTCACACCTTAGTCTTCAAGCTAACCCCCAAACCAAGAGGATAACTTTTCCCTACGTATTTGAAAGCCCCCATAAAGTAGCATATTCCCAGGAAACTGGCCTGATACTGTCCCCACATGATAACAAACACATAGCCACACATTCAGACACACCATCATCTTGGTTGCTGCTATATATGGGCAAATGAAGGAATGGACATCTTGTCAAGACACTACCAAAGATGGTTAGGATTTCAGTGGTGTTAAGTCTGTAGTTGGACAGTCAGGAGACAAAGAGCTGGAACATTGCAGTCTGAAAATGACCCATAAAACTTTGATGTCAACATTGTCTTAGTGCACAATATAAGTGCCTTTAGGGTCACAGGCACTCCTTGAGTGTTTCACAGTTCTGTCCATTTGCTGTGAGGAAAACAGTCAGCCTTCACCAAGACTCCCTCAAGAGATTACAAAATATGTTCTCTCAATTTGTCTTTTTTATTTGCTAAAGTGATCTGTCTTAAACTGTCCTTGTTGTTTAAATTTTATTAATAAGCATTTTGCTCTTAAAGATAATGTCAAGCAGATAGAGTGCCTTGCAAATGTATGCACACTCCTTGAACTTAGCTATTCTTTGCTACATCACAACCTAAAACATCACTGTATTTTACAGAGAAGCATGTGAAAACAGATGCTCTGAATATAATACAGTATGTCACCAGAACTGAACTGTTTGACCTACAGTATATGCACAGTGCTGTATGTACATGTACATGGTCATCATGGTTGTAATGGTGGCAGAATTGTGCCGTTGAAAAGCTTTTCTTCACCAGGACATGGAAGCATGCAGAGTAAATGAAAACATAAATTGAGCAAAATCCTGTTAAAGGCTGCAATACTTTCAATTCAATTTAGGTTAATTATATAATGCTAATTCACAACACAGGTCTTCTCAAGGCACTTTACAGGGATGATACTGTCAGACTGGTTAGGAAAGCCAGTTGATTGCATCCAGTCATTGACTTGCAAGACATGCTCCTCCTCGATGAGCTTGTTGTTGACTCTTCAGCAATTCCTCTCACCTAGCATGCATGTAGTGATAGTGGAGAGGAAAACTCCCTTTTAACAGTAAGAAACCTCCAGCAGAACCAGGCTCAGTGTGAGCGGCCATCAGCTGAGGCCGATGGGTTTTCAAGGAGATAGAAGCAGTTACTTTACTAACTTTTCAACTCGATACCGATACTAAGGAAAATATTCGATACTCGATACCATTTTCGATACCACAAGGATTAAAAACAAAGACTCTAAAATTCTACAGAAATATTTTCATTAATAAATAAAATACAATAAATAAATACAATAAAGGTTGTCTGCTGTGCACAATATTAAGCAAGCTTGATAAAAAAACTTATAAAATTAAAATGAAGTGTTCCTTCCTTGGCTATGCTTTTACACAAAACAATGACACTAGCCAAACCAGTTAAAAAACAAAAATAATTCTCAGCAGCTGCACCTCTTACTAAAAAAAAGAAGTCTGAAACCGAAAAGTGCACAGAGTTATTCAATCACACAGTGTTCAGAAAGTGCATTTTCCTCTATTCTGCACTTTAGATGAATGACTGCTTAG